CTAAGTCATTATTGGTTACGCCAAATGTTCGGAGCAGATAAGGTTGTGGGTAGCTACATAGAAATAGAGCATGAGACGTTTACATGTGTATAGAGTCTGCTTTAATCTGTCTTAATTGTGTAAGTGGTTTATTATTTATTTATTTTTTAAGTCTTCTACCGAATGCTTTCTACGTGTGGAAGATATATAACCTTCCGCTCATACGTACGTTCACAATTTATCATCTCTCCTGCAACATTTTCCTTGCAAGGATTTCTTTCTAAACTTCATATATTGATCACGTATGAGATGAGAATGCCTCAAATGAACTCATGTTATAGTGTGACAAAATCAAGGTCACCGTTGCTATTTATGGATTGTTTTGTTTCTTTTTATACATTTTGTCATCGCTCTAGGAGCCTCAGTCTGCATAGATTTTGATAAAAAAAAATTACATATTTGTTAAGTATGACAACACTTCGAACACGTTTGTTGTGTTTCCGAACAGATTTTAACAAGATGTTTATTAAGCTCCATGTTGTGGTGAAGTTTTCAGAATACCTCAAACAGTCTTCGTGCTACAGTGCGACGTTACAAGGAACTGTTAAGTTTGTAATCTTGAGCCACACGTAAAGGGGATTTGTATCGTTTGCGATGCCTTGTTATAATAAAGGATTGATGATAAACATGTATTGTTTTCATATAGGTACATGTTCCATATATACATATTAATGGAAATATTCGGAACTAAGGAAGTTTTAACAAGAATGGGGTAAAGGGTGTATCGTTACTAAATGTAACATAATATCACTTCTATCATATAACTGGACCTATTTCTGACTTAATATTGAGATATATATTTAATTGTGTTTTATATACGCGTACAATAGATTGTCTGCATTCCACATTTTCCAACTGTATTTTACCGGATTTCAAAATGAACAAAATCATCATTGACTGTATTTTATATATATATAAAGATTTATTCAGAGATACACAACCACAGGAGGGCTTACAACTTGTAATTTTCCTTTTCGTACGAATTTCGTCTTCTTTTCTATCTTAAATGTCAAAATTAATGCAAACAAATATCGTACACTTAACATCCAATAAATGACATTTCATATTCCTCACACCAAAATAAATCATTATATAAAATAAGCTTATTACCGATATTTAGTTCTTATTTTGTAACGATACCTGTTTACTTAACCTGGTGTTATGCAAGGTGAGTGAATTTGCCCACAAGCAACGTTGTTAAATTAATGTGCAGTTATTGTTCATATGTATACAGTTATAATAAAAAAACACCAGATTGTTGGTAAAATGTTCACTACAATTTTTAATGATCTAGATTATTGGCAGGATTTTTGTCATCTTTGTATGTTAATCCATGTCGCTCAAAACAATTCGACAATTAACAATTCAGATATTTATATGCAAAATTTCTGCTGCTTCTATTCTTTCTTTTTCGGATAGACTTTTTGAATTATATGATGTTGTCTTAAGCAATCACCATTTGTATGTTTTCTATTTTATTGTTCAAATCCTGCGCTATCCTAGTTTACCCAATATCGTCGGTGGCCTACGATAAAAACGGAGAAAAAAGAGAATATCTTGCATAATGGTGATACGTTTGTGCTAGTCATACAAATAATAGGGATGGGTTCTCTTAACATTTTTATTAAACTTAATTTTATTGTGATATAAATATTTGAATGGCGGCATGAAAATATCATAAATGTTTCCCGTTTTTAAAAGAAAATTTGTTGCTTGACTAAAATTAAATAACGATTGCACTATTATTTCTGATGTTAAAAATGATAGTGGATATATATATATTGTGAATGAAACTTGTAGGTATTAAATCATAAAGCAGAGAAATAGCGACATGTTATATTTCGAAATTTGTCCTTAGTAGTAGTAGTAGTTATCTTCCAAATTAATTCTACAAGGCAATCCTCTTTTAAGAGGAATGTGAAACTCATAAATGTATTGTCGTCGTGCATCTCGCGTAATAGAATTAGATTTATAATTACATAGGGGAAAAAAATGCAATATATCTACCGTGTTTATATTGAAACTCTTCAGACATTTATGATTTATGTTCTAAAATTAAAATGTCAATTAGAAAATAAATAAGATTATTTATTCTTAAAAATTAGAAAACAGAAATGCCAAAAGGTAAAAAAAATTAGTTCTTGTGCACTGAATGGTGACCAGATATGTACCTGGTCTTCCTTGTGTAACCTCTTGTCAGGCACTTTTTTTATTCAAGTTTTCTTTTTTTATAAACAACACATTTACACACAAAGCAACAAGCATACATTACATTGATTACAATTCCCTTCACAACGGACACCTCTTTACAAGAGACTAATTATATACTGTACACATATACACATACACACTCACAGGGGTTGGGTGGGGGTGGGGGGTGGGGGTTGTTTGGGGATTGCAAACTTTTCTTTATAGTATAATGATAATTGTTCACATTATTTTATAAGAGAAGCCATTTTTCTACTTTATTAAGCAAGACTATATTATTTTTGCAGTTTTTATGCTTAATTATCAATATCTTATGAGATTTAAGTTCAAAAAGAATGTGATTCTTTAAACTTGTTATATTAAGTTCTATTTCTAGGCATTTCATTTTAAAAATGTATTGTTTAATCAATAATAGGATAAGATTATCCACTATCAAATCAGCATCCTTTGAACTGAATTGTCCAAATATAAATTCCTGTTTGTCAAAATTCAAATCAATATTACTGGTTGCAAGCAATTGTTTTAGTTCTCTCAAAATTTCACATACTTTACCACAATCCCAAAATAGATGTTCAATTGTTTCTGGAAATCTTTTACAAAAAGTACAAGTTGAATTTTGTTTTATTCCCATTTTTTGTAGGAGTGTGTTTGTAGTTAAGATTCTATGGTTAATTCGGTATTGAAGCCATCTTAATTTAGTACTTTCAGTAGTTTTAAAAGGACATGCATAAATCTTTATCCATAATTTGTCCTGAATGTTAAAAACCGTAGACCATTTCCTTTGTGACGTGGGTTTTGTATCATTTCGGCATAAAACAGCATAAATATCCTGTGCCCCTTTAGTCCTCCTTAATATAATATTAAGATTTAAAGGTATATTAGGTAAACAAATACTCTTTTCTAAAGCAAAGATTTCTTGTTTACTATTTATAAACTGTTTTATAGCACTAATTATACTATGAAAAGTTAAAAAATTGGACCTTATATCATATCTATGTTGAAATTCTACAAAATTATAAAAAGAACCATCTTCTTTAATTACATCATATATAAAAAGCACTCCTTTTCTATACCACTCTTTACAGAAAACAGTCTTATTGTTTGTTTGGATATTGTGATTATACCACAAAGGATTTTCACATATTTTTTCACTATATAAATTGGACGACACTATTGTTTGATACCATGCTTCTAAAACGTGTTTCCAAAATTTATTTTTACATTCTTCACATGTAATTTTTAATTTATGAATTCCACAATTAGCTAAAGAGAACTTATCCATGTAGTTTTCAGGAATTAAAGTCCAACTAGCATCTTCTTTATAGATCCTCCGTACCCACGTTGCCTTTAGTGCTGTTATGAAAGATTTTAAATGAATCATTTTCAAACCACCATGTTCGTATGACTTAATTATAACATCACGTTTAACTTTATCAGTTTTTCCGCACCACAAAAATTTGTATAATATGTTATTTACTTTTTTTATATAAGAGTCATGTGGGTTTGGAAGAGCTATAAAAAGATGATTAAATTGTGAAATTAGCAATGTTTTAATAATGGTTATCTTACCTATTGGAGTGAGATTTCTTCTATTCCACGAACTTATGAGAGATTTAAGTTTAACAAGTTTCTTATCAAAGTTTAATTTAACTACTCTATGTAAATCAACATCATATTCAATGCCTAGCAAATTAAAACGTGTACTTCCCCACAAAAGATTGTGCTCTGTTGTATATTTATTATTACTATATTTTTCACTGCCTATCCAGATTACCTGGGTCTTGGTGAAATTCATTTTAAGACCTGAAATTCTGGCATAATAGTTAAGTTGTTGTAGCGTTACATTTAAAGATTTTTCTGAACCGTCAAGGATAACAGACGTATCATCAGCAAACTGTGATAAAAGAATTTCTCTGTTATTTACAACAATACCGCTGATATCAGAATTATTTCTTAACAGAATCGATAAAATTTCAGCACATAAGATAAAAATATATGAAGAAACAGGGTCCCCCTGACGGCATCCACGCTCGATAGTGAAAAAAATGGATAAGTTCCCTCCTATGTTAACTGCAGAGCGTATATTTTTTTGAAAAAGGTTGATCCAGTTAATAAGTGATGGTCCAAAATTGAAGAAATTTAAAGTTTTTGTAATAAAATTCCAAGACACAGAGTCAAAAGCTTTTTCAAAATCAATTAACAATAGAAGACCAGGTATGTCATTTTCTTCAGTATAATGCATTAAATCATAAATTAAACGTGTATTTTCTCCAATATATCTACCTGGAATAAAACCAGTTTGACTGTTGCTAATTAATTTAGTTATTATAGTTTTGAGTCTTTCTGCTATCGTGCCGGATGCCATCTTATAAATAGTATTGAGAAGTGTGATGGGACGCCAATTTTTTAGTTTATTACGGGGTTTGTCGCCTTTTGGGATGCATGTTATAATTCCTTGTTTTTGAGTGACTGACATTTCTGAAACTGAATAACCAAAATTAATTGACCTGACAATGAAATGCCCAAGTTGTTTCCAAAATACTTTAAAAAATTCAACAGAGAAGCCGTCAGAACCAGGACTTTTATTATCCTTCATTTTCATTAGTGTTTTTGCCATTTCAGATATAGTTATTTGTCCTTCTAATGATAATGATTCCAGGGGAGATAATTTAGGTATATCATATGGATTAAACAAGTCCTCTAAGTTTACATCCTGTATAGCAGTATTTCTTTTGTACAAATTTTCATAAAAAANTCACTGTTCAAATGTTTGTACAATCTGATTCGACATTTGAGGACGTTTTATACTTTTTATACATTTATCGGTGAACTGTCATGGAATGATATTTACATAATGTTTTATTGTACCACGAGGTCAAGTGTTCATCATGTACTATATCCTCGTGTTACAACCCCATCACGTGTACGGTACCGTCTCCACCCCCGATCCACACGTTACCACACGTGTCCACACCCACCGCTGTAGGTTTGATCACTCCACATTTCTGGTCCAGGAGACACACAACTTGTGTACCGTCTCTCGGTAAGACATACACCTGATTGTTCTTGTAGTCTGGTACAAAGACTCTATCGTACTTATCACATGACATCTTACAGAGTTGCTTACTACCGACCTTTTGATCGTTGTCGAGTTCACCAGTCCATGTCTGTATGGCGGTACCAGATTCGTCTGTTATCTTTATATTCCTATCAGTCCGGCTCTCTCTGATTGCTTGAACTACACACATACGTCGCGATGACAAACAGACAACATACCTTATAGTTTCTGATCCAATAATGACCTTCCTTATAACCGTGCCTGACTGATTCAGTACCACTATGTCTGATGTACCTGTACTAACAAACACCTCGCCCCTCTCGTTGATGCTGATGTCACGTGGTTCATGTGGCTTGATGTCAGCAAATGTTGTTACTTGTTTGTTGATTAGTGATAGTTTATATATAAATGTACTAAATGGATAACTGGTCATAAGTATGTCTGTTGTCCCAACCATGGTGATCATGAACGGACAGAAGTCCAGCTTTACTGTCTCTGAGACCACACCCTCCCTATTAACCAGTACCAGACCCTGGTACTTGTGTATTGATAGCCACGCCTGACTGTCGTCGACTGGACATATACCGTTTATTTGATGTTTTGGAGTAACAGCAAACTTTGAGAGACGATGAACGCGTTTACTGTTGCTGTCTGTCTTCTCGTACTGGTTCTCGTGGTGTAATTCACCTAACATTTCCGTCAACAGGACGCGGTCGATACTTCCGGTAACAAAGCTTGGTTGTTTTGGTGAAACATATTTCACATTAACGTCATACAGGGGCAGAGTTGTCCTCAAAGTCCTTTCTGTTTCAAACAAGGATACACTTGCTATATTTGTCATTTCCGCTTGTTCAAGCAGGCGCGTCAGTTCTTCGACTTTTTTCTCTGATCGTTGACAATCTGTCTTGTGCATGGTCGATTCTTCTTTTTCTAAAGCCGATAATTCTGCAAGTATTGCATCAGCGATATAATCTACTTCTGCCTTTAACTTTGTCCTTTGAGAGTTCACCTCTATCCTCATTGTATCAATGTTGTCGTTGAACCCTTCGTTAAAACGATGTTGCTCTGATGTCTCGTTCTTGAACTGTTCTATTTTAACAGAAATTGTTGTGATATGTTCTTTCAGATGTTGCTTTTTAATGGAAAATTCGTCTTCGAAATGTTTCCAGTCGTGGTGTTTGTGAGTTTTAGATAAACACATCGAACAAATCAACAGGTTGCAGTCTGAACAATAGAGATCACATAATTTACCGGGATGTATTTTACATACCTCTGGTATAGGCTTGTCGCTCTGGCGGTTAGCCTTCCCTATCGATACCACGTCATCGTTTTGAGTTTTCTTTCCGCGTGTATGAGTTTCCGTACACCAATCACATAAATTCTCCTGGCAATCGTTGCAATACCAACGTACCCCGTCTTCACTGTCACACAAAGCACACGTGTAGGTAACGAGATCCTGGGCACGCCGTACGGATATGTTACTTGCCATGATGTTGGTACTTTAGTGAGTTTGAAGGAATAATTTGCCTACAAACTGTGAACTGCCACCATTTGTTATGTCGGTACAACTTTATCTATACGCCTCCTTGTTACGGGTATATCACGCTATTTTACCGACAGGCAGTATAAAGTCCCGGACTCCTGGCGTTAGGACAGAAAACCCTATCTTGCTATCGTACGTTATCATTTATGTAAATGTAATTGTAATTGACAATGACCGAGATTGAGGTCATTCTCTAACTTAAACCAATGTCCTCCTTTGTTTAAATAAATATCACTATGAAAATAAATACCAATCGCCACGGTTCACCAATCACGCACACTTTGCAAGGTGTGGAACGGCATAACTCCTTCCCGGAAACAGCCGAGATGTTAGATTGCATTTCACACTGAATAAAATGTATACCCTAAATAATCAATTACTGAAAGGGTACCACTGCATCAGTAGTTATGGTAATGAAGATTGATATGTCTGAGCTGAATTTAGTTTTCGAAGGGCAGTGTATAGGTCTCGAGATCGATCCCTATAACTTTTGTTCATTTTTGTTTTACAACAATTCTTTTTGTGGAAAACTTTTCTAGAATAGGACATTTTTGATGATAGCATACAAGCAAGGGTTTATATTGATCTTCAATTATGGATGCAAAACTGCATAACTGACTTCAGCCTCATATCTATGGTAATAGGGCATATCCTACACATTTACATTTATTTAGTCTTTGATTTGTGTGTGAATGTTTTGAGGTAATTTAGCAGTGAAACATTGGAAACTTTCATCCTATTTTTATCTTGCCGATCTGATTGAATTGTTAAATTACGAATAGAAACATAGCTATGTTATGAATTTCGAATGGTGATATGTTATAAAATGATTTTTTGGAAATAATAACTTAAGCAACTTACAAGTTCAATAAGAATTTTTGAAAAAAGAAATTTGCTTCAGATGAAAAACTAACCCCATCCCCCGCCAACACCAACCCATTCAATTGCAAGTAGAAAAGCACGTGTTGGTCACGTGTCTTGTAATATCTCTCAATTACCAAATTTTCTGCAACATTTATACTGTAATATAGCTAAACAAGTTATCCGTATTATAGAATTATCACTCTCAAACCGACCCGGATTATTTTAACGACAGATTATATGAAAACATACCAAGGTATTTGTCGATATTTCAATGTTACATTTTTCTGTTTGGTGATTTCAAGAATGCATAAACATACGATTATTCATACGTATTAAAATTAAATATAACTAAGATTAAATTCCTGAATATGAATAAGGATTGTGAAAAAAACACTTTATGCCAAATTCTTCTACTGTGTTATGCAGTAGGTTTTTAAAAGAAAATAAATATGATAGTGATTTGCTCTGATAAAAATTAATACGGCGAGATATAAACTTAATCCTTTGTCCAATTTCATATCGTATATAAAAACTTCTTTACAACAATTATGAAACAACTTTTTACAACTTATACTAATCACTCTTGTTTGGCATACGGGGGGTCTAAATGTGGGAAGAAACCAGAGTACCCGGAGAAAACCCACTTGATCGGGCAGGTGACCCCATACTTTTTCACAATCGATCGGTGAATCGAACCCCGGTCGTATTGGTGTAAGGGCCAGTGTGCTATCCACTGCGCCATCCGACCACCCGATTCCATATCTTAACTCCGGTAAACCATTAGAGCTCGAGGAGTCTTTAAAATTGTGATTATAAAATGAAAATATGTTATTAATGTAAAGATTGATTGAAAAAAGTAACGTTTACTCAGGATACTTACCGACGGGAAAGAGTTTGAAGATATGTTGATCCACTAAATACTATATAAGTTATCAATGACGTCTACAATGAACCTGTATCAGATACGAAACCAGATTATCTCATTAGGACACTGATGTCTCTACTCTATCACACAAATTCAATGCAAACCCTTTGTATTCCATATAGAGCAGAATCAAATATCATACATCATTCGGCGAATCTAGCTCAGACACAGGTATAGGTAAACTTTTCAGATAATATACCCTAAGTTTCCCATAAAGATCCCCGTCCGACTGGCAAAACCGCTATTGGAACAGTGTACTTTAACAAATAAATATTGAAAAGAAATCTATGTATGAACGAACGATATTTGAAATGAATAAAAGATACGTTTACAAGTAAAATAACAATGATATTACTGTATTGTATATTTTTAAATGGCTTAAAGTTATCTGTGATTGAATTAAAGATATTGTTAGGTAATAGATATATTTCATATATTTAGGTTCATAATTATAAGATACATCTGTTATAAGATATTTCCTAATTATTTAAGATATCTTCTGTGAAGAATTTAATGTTGGCTTATCACACTCCCGGGGAAAAAACGAAAGCTGGGACGAAATTATAGTTATTGAAGAGAGGTTAACCTCTAGTGTAAATTGAAGATTATACGACAGGAAACCCTGATTTGCTTTTCATTGGTGACAAAAAACAAATCTATACTTGGAACAGACCGGAGAACGAGAGAATCAACTGTGAGGACGGGTGTATCACGTGACTTGACGGACACACAAGACAATGTCCCGGACGCCTGGCGTTAGGCCAACAATAGTCTAACTGAAAGACAGATCTTGCTATCATATGTTACCATCATTACATGTGTGTATAGGTCATACTGTTATGTTGTACATTTAAGTTGTGATTTGAACTCGAGTAATATGCTTTCGACCAAGCATTAAAACACAGTGTTCTCGTGTCAGTGTGTAGACTACCTACTAAAAGTTAATTACCAGTTTTTATGAAGACTTTACGGTATTTTCAAATTAAAATGTAGGTATTTTGACAGCTTACCTGATATTTATCAAAAGATAAAACAATTGTTCACAGAAAGAGAGAGAGAGAGAGGAGAGAGATATTTAAATATGTATCAATATGTTCCACTTTGAATGGGAAATGGGGAATGATAACAGGAACAGAAGGAGAGCTCTTTCCGTTTCAGGAATTATTGAAGTGTACGTAAAGGCTAGTCAGTCTAGTATTATGTAATATGATAAGTGTTATGCAGACAGACACATCCTGAAACCCTTTATAATCTAAGCTTTAAATGTAGCTCAAACAACAAGTCGATTTGCATAAAGTATCAACATAAGATTGGGGTATACAGTAAGTTATGACGGGTTCGCTCCCCTTGTTCGAGTCCTTTACACATCATTCAGCAATGAATTGTACTGAGTGGAGTTTACACGTCTTTAAATTCTGAGAGGTAATTACGTCAACACTGATCTACCTAGCATACTCAGATGCATTATGGGATTAATGAAATACTAACGAAAACTAAGTACCATTTACAAATATATAACACAGTAATGACTATATTCTAGTGACATATGTTAATGACAGTTGTAAAAAACTATTTGTGCACCAATGATTGGAACAATGTACGACTTGTCACCTAGGACTGATGATAATGACGAGATCTTTAAAATACCAGCAAGTCTGTGGTGATAATATAGTGTACCGTTACCGATTACAGTATCGGTCAGTGAGCCAAATGATATTCTATGGAAATTAGACATTGTTTGTCATTGACGAATTCAGCCTGAGAGTTATGAGCTCCCTTCCAAATTGTAATAATATCCCTAAATTCTGTAATGTTTATAGGTCCCCACTACCTACACACATATTATATGCCCAAATGTCGTAGATTTATAACGTCACTTAGTTAATGTAGCCTGGTTGTATTCCTGCCTAGCGGTTAATATATTCCAGAGGTCAGTATGTAAAAGTGATAATCATTTCATGTATGTCTGAATAAGAACGTTCTTTGAAATATTAAATACTATCTAAATACATTGATGATATTATTGATTGAATTATTGTCCTCACAGTATACCCCACCCCCCTCACACACACATACACCCAAATGTCGTAGCTCTATGACGTCATTTATTTAATGTAGACTGGTTATATGTATGCCCAGCTGTTAATGTTCCAGAAGTCGTGTGTAAAATTGATAAGTACTTCATATATATTTGAATCAGCATTTACTTTGAAATATGAAATATGAATAAAATACAGTACATTTCTTTTTATTGAATGTTTGATGTTTTTCTTTCATTACTATGTAACATGCATGATATAAATAAACATTTTCGTACCAAACCAAAGAGCACAACTTAACCTTTTGTCGTTCATTGTTGTGTCGGTTTAAACTATGCGAATGTTTTGAGTGTCATTTACTCGGGTTTTATAGTCAAAATCCAGCTATAGACATATACTGTAGTGTCCCCAGGTTGGAAATGAAACTTATATAGATAAGAAAATCTATTGGCGATAGGTGTATTCTATTTCACATACAAAAAAAAAAAATCCTTTTATATCTTCCTCATAGTTTTGTCAATTTTATTTTAAAAAGGAAGTCAGCATTTTTCCAATAGACATAGCGAAAACATGACCGAGGTACACCTGGTTGTTACTGAAGTCTGGTACAAAGACTCTGTCGTACTTATCACATGACATCTCACAGAGGCACATACTACCGACCTTTTGGCCGTTGTCGAGTTCAGATTTAGGTCTGATTATTCCCTGATGCCATTATAATATTTGTTATGGTTGGACCACACATACATGTAGGTACCTTTAGTAGGCCTGGTCACAGGGGCATGGGCATTGCTCACTATATATATATATATATATGCACTGTGTCGCGTCACTTAGCATACCTTTGGTATTTTCCTAAATACAGATAAGGTGTTTGATGTCTGCTAAGTGAGATTTGGTGTCAGGTATAGAACAGTAAGATTTAATTACAGGTAAACTATAGTCTGAAGTATAAAACGTATACATACACTGTACAAATTTCCACACACAGGTACCACTATAGTTATCCCAGTCACAGGGTCCTAATAATTGATCACTTTTGGTATGTGTGGATCCACCCTGATAAAACGTACCTCTAATAAGCCGGTCACAGGGGCATAAGAATTGATCGCATTCGGTATGTGTGGACCCACCCTGATAATAAGTATCTTTAATTAGCCCGGTCACAGGGTTCTAAGAATTGATCACTTTCAGTATGTGTGTACCTACCCTGATAATAAGTACCTCTCATTAGCCGGTCACAGGGGCCTGATAATTGATCACTTTCGGTATGCCTCGAATTAGCCTGTCACAAGGGCCTGAAAATTAATTACTTTCAGTATGTGTGGACCCACGCCGATAATAAGTTCCTCGAATTAGCCGGTCACAAGGGCCTGAATTGATCACTTTCAGTATGTGTGTACCCACCCTGATAATTAGTATAGGTATGTTTGTATATGTACATATCCCGATGTCTTGTTTTATGGTTGGTCCACACATCGGGTTATCTTGTTAACCCGGCCACAGGGGCCTGAGTATTCATCACAGTAGTGTATTCAGATATATCCCGATGTATAGAAAGTGTCAACGAATATTAAAACGTCACCCCCCCNAAAGTGTCAACGAATATTAACGTCATCCCCCCGATAGTGGTTTATATAGATGGAATAGAAGTCTCGGGAAGTCTATAACTAAACCTCACCTTATTTTTCACCCCGCAAAATCATTTTTTGTTGATTTATAGAAGAAAATCTTATTGTTGAAAACTGGATAGTTTTTTTCTTCTGCTTTTGCAAAATGCAAAATAACGATTATGACAGGAAAGGAATTTAACATAACAAAACCCCTCTTATGTACAAAATACATTATGAATAACCTAGCCTATTATCAGATTTCCAGATACCCATAAATAGTTCAAACAAACAAATACACAGCGGTAATACAATGGGAGCTTTTATTCAGTGTTATATCTATACATGTCTGTTTAAAGGTTATAACAATGTAAATACAAATCAAAATGTATCAGTCATTCTTGTTACATTTCAATACTACAAGGTATAAAACAACTCAACCAAACCTGTATCACCTTACATTTACCGGTCGATTGCATTTTGTAAACATCTGTGTTACACACTTTGATCAATAGTTGTTAGATAATCATAATAGTTAAACATTCATGCATGGGTAGAATAAAAAGCAAAAACATATATATGTTTCCTGTTTCATGTTTGAAAACAAATGAGGATAGGTGATTGAAGTCATTTTTTTATTTAGCATAGTGATTTTTACTTTAGCATTGCTTTCTTTAGATTGCAAAAGAAAAAGAAAAAAATGTTAGGGTAAGCACAACATATAGGGTAGGTAACAGGAAATAAACATATGTTTCTTTGGTCTTAGAAAAGTATTCAAATCTAAAGCCAATTAAGATAATGTATTTAGATGTTTATGTCATTTGGAATCGATTTTTTTTCGAGAAACAAACCATAAAGATACATTTTATACAAAGCACTCATAAATATTGATATTGTGTTTGTTTCCCTCTCCGCCTGTCACTCTATCTCTGACTGTCTGTCTCAAATGTTTTCTATTTCTCCCTCTCTCTTTCTCTCCTAGATCTGTCTCACACTCAATCTTTCTCCGTCATAATATGAAATGAAATAATTCAAAACGAAAGACAAACTTCAAAATCACACACAACAAAGGTCAAGATCACTTATTCATTTGTTGATTAGTTCAATGATCATACAGTGTCGGTTGGTATAAACAATCTAGTTACTTATGTTTGTCAGATTACCACGGTCATGTTACACTAATACATTCACTGTTCAAATGTTTGTACAATCTGAATCGATATTTGAGGATATTTTATACTTCATTTATCGGTGAACTCTCGTGGAATGATATCTACATAATGTTTTATTGTACGACGAGGTCAAGTGTTCATCATGTACTATATCCTCGTGTTACAGTCCCATTACGTGTACGGTACCATCATAACACCCGACCCACACGTTCCCACACGTGTCCACACCCACCGCTGTAGGTTCCAACTCTCCATGTCTCTGGTCCAAGAGACACACAGCTTGTTTACCGTCTCTCGGTAAGATGTACACCTGATTGTTCTTGTAATCTGGTACAAAAACTCTATCGCGCTTATCAAATGACATCTTACAGAGTTGCATACTACCGACCTTTTGTCCGTTGTCGAGTTCACCAGTCCATGTCTGTATGACGGTACCTGACTCGTCTGTTATATTTATGTTCCTATCAGTCCAGCTTCCTCCGATTGTTTGAACTACACACAATCGTCCCGATGACAAGCAGACAACGTACCTTATTATTTCTGATCCAATACTGACCTTCCGTATAACCGTACCTGACTGATTCAGTACCACTATGTCTGGTGTGTCTGTACTAACAAACACCTCGTCCTTCTCGTTAATACTGATGTCCCGTGCTTTATGTGGCCTGATGTCAGCAAATGTTGTCACTTGTTTGTTGTGTAGTGATAGTTTGTATACAAATGTACAAATTGGATTACTGGTCATAAGTATGTCTTTTGTGCCGACCATGGGGATCATGTACGGACAGAAGTCCAGTTTTACTGTCTCTTTGACCACACCATCCCTGTTAACCAGTACCAGACCCTGGTATTGGTGTATTGATAACCACGCGTGACTGTCGTCGACTGGGCATATACCGTATAATGTATTTTGTGGAGTAACAGTAAACTTAGAGAGACGTTGAACGTGTTTACTGTCGATGTCTGTCTTCTCGTACTGGTTCTCGTGGTGTAATTCACCTAACATTTCCGTCAACAGGACGCGGTCGGTACTTCCGGTAACAAAGCTTGGTTGTTTTGGTGAAACATATTTCACATTAACGTCATACAGGGGCAGAGTTGTCCTCAATGACCTTTCTGTTTCAAACAAGGATACGCTTGATGTATTCGTCATTTCCGCTTGTTCAAGCAGACCCGTCAGTTCTTCGACTTTTTTCTCTGATCGCTGACAATCTGTCTTGTGCATGGTTGATTCTCCTTTTTCTAAAGCTGATAATTCAGCGAGTATTGCATCAGCGATAGAATCTACTTCTGCCTTTAACTTCGTCCTTTGAGTGTTCACCTCTTTCCTCATTGTATCAATGTTGTCGTTGAACCCTTCGTTAACACGATGTCGCTCTGATGTCTCGTTCTTGAAATGTTCTATTTTAACAGAAATTGCTGTCATATGTTCTTTGAGATGTTGCTTTTTAATGGAAAATTCGTCTTCAAAATGTTTCCAGTTGTGGTGTTTATGAGTTTTAGATAAACACATCGAACAAATCAACAGGTTGCAGTCCGAACAATAAAGATCACACAGTTTACCGGAGTGTAGTTTACATACCTCTGGTACAGGCTTGTCGCCCTGGCGGTTAGCCTCCCCTATCGCCACGACGTCGTCGCTTTTAGTTTTCCTTCCGCGTATATGGGTTTCCTTACACCGGTCACATAAATTCTCCTGACAATCGTTGCAATACCATCGTACCCCGTCTTCACTGTCACACAAAGCACACGTGTAGGTAACGGGTTCCTGGGCACGCCGTACGGACCTGTTACTTGCCATGGTGTTGGTACTTTAGTGAGTTTGAAGGAATAATTTGCCTACAGACTGTTAACTGCCACCATTTTGTTTCTGTGTCGGTACAACTTGAACTATACACTTCCTTGTTACGAGTATATCACGTGATTTTACCGACAGTCAGTATAATGTCCCGGACTCCTGGCGTTCGGCCGAAAATAGACAGAGCTATCATACGTCACCATCATTCACTACATGTGTGTATATGATTTACACTGTAAATGTGTTTTATGTAGCACATTTTAGTTGTGATTTTTACTTGAGTTGTGCCCCTTCGATCAAGCATTAGAACTATCGAAACAGAATGACAAGTGTTCTCATGACGCTGTATCAGTTATAATTAAGGTTGTACAGCATTCTAAAAAGCGAGAGAGAGAGAGAGAGAGAGAGAGAGAGAGAGAGAGATGGGGACACAGGGAGAGAGAGATGGAAGGAGGAAGCCATTAACATCTGTCATTACTCACACGACTTCAAACTATAAAAGTACTGTATAACAAACCGACAAAATCTGTTTACAAACAAATTGGAATTGCATGTGTATCGATATGTTCCGCTGTGAACGGGGTAATATAACTGACACAAGAATCAGGGAGGTCTTTCGGTTCAGAAGTTATTGAAGTGTACATAAAGGCTGGTCAGAATGGTAATATGTAAAGCGATACGTGTTATGTAGACAGACTCGTCCTGAAATCATTTATCTACAATGTAGCAATACACAATATATAGCACAAATAACATACAAATTGATTCAACACAATATTGGCGTATACAGTAAGTTATGACGAGTTCGCTCCCCTTGTTCGAGTCCTTTACACAATATTCAGCTATGAATTGTACTGAGTGGAGTTAACACGACTATAAAGTCTGACAGGTAACGTCAACTCTGATCTACCTGGTGCACTCAGATACATTATGGGATTTATGAAGTATTTAACACAGTAATGATTATGTTCAAGTGTGAAACATTTATGACACTTGTTGAATGCGAGAGATACAACTTTCTGTGCCCGTATGATTGGAGCAATATACGACTTGTAACCTATTACTGATGAAAATTACGGGATCCTTATGATACAAGTCTCAGATCTGTGTCGATAATAATTTGTAATTTTACCGATTAAAGGATCTCTCAGAGAGCCAAATGATATCCTATGGAAAGTGGACAATGATGTAATGGAACATCCATTATATCATTGACGATATCAGACTGAAAGTTTAGAGTATATAGCCCCCCCCCNACTTTTTTGCATGCCTATCGGTTGATATGTTCCAGGATTCAGTATGTAAAAGTGATAATTATATATTGAAAATTGAATTACGGTACTTTACTTTGATTGTTTGAATTAATGCAGAAGTATTTGCACAATTTGTCAAATCATTTTTTATTCATCACTATTTAATACACGCATGGTATAATTAACTGTCTCGTGTCAAGTTAAAAGCCACAGATTTACCTTTCGTCTACTACTTTGTCTGTTTAAGATATGCGAACATATTACAGATTCTTTTTACGGAGATTTATTGTTTAATTTTAATGGGCTTTTTCTTTCTTTTTTGTTTGTTTGGAGACATCTAAAAGGTTAAACGATTTGACCATACATTGTAAAAAGTAAATTAAGACCCCTCTTACTTGAAGGCACGGTATTCTAGTGGTATGACGCCGGGTTCGTGACCGAAGGGTTGCGGGTTCGAGTCACGTCGAGGCACTGTATAGTATCATTGAACAAGATATTTTACTCCGCTTGGTCCAGACTACGCAGCTGTAAATGAGTACGTGGTTGGGCAGTGCTAGAATTGTTGAATGTTAGACGTGAGTGCCGAAATGGCAGCACCGGCTGTATGCTCTCTAGGGAGTTGAGAAAGATATAGGCCGGTTGCAAAGGCTCGAAAACCACGGATAATAATTTGTGAACCGCTTTGAGACTACCTACGAACTAGGTTGTGATAGAGCGGTAAATAAGAGCCTACAATTACAATAATTATTATTTATTGATCTAAGACATCAACAGTTATGCGTTTTAACTGCGGATTATTTTTACAGTGTTTATGACAAATATACATAACCTTAGCTGATGATAGGATGTCAAACCCTATGAAACCAAGCCAATTCCAATGTGACCACGTCCTTAAATAACCTTAGCTGTTGATAGGATGTTAAACCCAATGAAACCAAGCCAATTCCAATGTGACCGCGTCCTTAAATAACCTTAGCTGATGATAGGATGTAAACCCCAATGAAACCAAGCCAATTCCCATGTGACCACGTCCTAAAATAACCTTAGCTGATGATAGGATGTAAACCCCAATGAAACCAAGCCAATTCCAATGTGACCACGTCCTTAAATAACCTTAGCTAAGGATAGGATGTTAAACCCTATGAAACCAAACCAAATCCAATGTGACCACGTCCTTAAATAACCTTAGCTAATGATAGGATGTTAAACCCTATGAAACCAAGCCAATTCCCATGTGACCACGTCCTTAAATAACCTTAGCTGATGATAGGATGTTAAACCAAATGAACCCAAGCCAATTCCAATGTGACCCCGTCCTTAACTAACCTTAGCTGATGATAGGATGTTAAAACCAATGAAACCAAGCCAATTCCCATGTGACCGCGTCCTTAAATAACCTTAGCTGATGATAGGATGTTAAACCCAATGAAACCAAGCCAATTCCAATGTGACCCATCTATTTCTCCGGGAAATGATCAGAGCCGCCGTCACTGACGACGACGATCGAGCAACGACAACGATGATGACGTAGACGATTGCATGGTTTTCAATTGAGTCCTGCTGTGCAGACACTTGAATATCACTGAAAACTTAACATACTGTTTGGATGGCCACTTACCTCCAAACACCGTCATCGTTGACTTATACGTAGGTCCGAATGGCTTGCTCGAGATTTTCAAGTTTACAATGGCAAAGTCCGATGTATTGTCTGAGGAGAACTGTGGACCCGTGTCTGTAGAGATGAGTAGACGGATACATCAGTATAGATTTTTTAATATGATAGTGTATCTGAAACAGGACACTCGACTCCACGACACGTTTATACATACTCCGGGCCTAACAGTCCTAACACGACACTAGACTCAACCACACACTAAACATACACAGGGCCTTCCAGTCCTAAGAGGTCACTAGACACGACCGCAAATTATACATACACATGCATATGGCCTATTGGTCGTAACAGGACACTACACTTGACCACAAATTATGCATGCTCCGGGCCTCTCAGTCTTAACAGGACACTAGACTCGACCACACAATAAACATACTCCGGGCCTACCAGCCCTAACATGATACTAGACTCGACCGCACATTATAAATACACAGGGCCGAACAGTCCTAACTGTTATACATGCACAGGGCCTGCCAGTCCAACATTCCCCATGCAACAAAAAGCACACTATGTCTAACAAGACACTATATCTGATTAGTCATTAAACATATTCAGGTCATATCAGTCCAAATATGGCACTTAACTCAGAAACATACAGTATCCGGGCCAAGCAGTTTTCAATATAGTCATGAGTATAGTGTGATTCAAGTTTGGACTGAAAAGCCCTGCGTGTGTATATTGTGTTGCCGGACCGAGCACTCTATAGAGTGACAATAGACTCGTGGTATTTATGCATATTTCTGGCTTACTAGTGATATCATATCCCTTCAGCCCAATTCACCTCGTTCATAAGGGGGACTTTCCAGTTCCTCCGACATTTAACCTATTTGAATACGATACGGTAGAGTGCAATAGACCTAGTGTTCATTTAAATCTCAATTTTCTGTGTTGATGCTGAAGATTAGTGTTTCTCAATTACTTTGAATGAAAACTGATCCAAACTTGGCAATATAGAGCTGTTTAAATCACATTCTCGTGCTGAAAAGATGTTTCAACACCGACATCTATGTGTGACAAATGACTTTTACTGTGGTGTACGGGACCTTTTTATATCATCGTTGACGAAATATCACTATATAAAAATGGATTTTGACATTTGCGGTATCAAATTCATAATAAATGGTCCCTTCCCTCGTGTGAGAGAACTGAAATGTTTAAAGTGGACTTGATAGCACAACCGGAATTAAAATTTTACAGTTTTGAAAAGAATACATTTATTACAATTTTGTTGTTCATGTACTTACGGACAACTTTGCCGTTCGCCGCTCCCATGACGTCATCGCTTTATGTTCAAACGTATCTTTTGTATTCCAAGAGAGAAAACACACTTTTTGAAATCCTTGTTCATTACATCTGACCCTAAAACACAAGGTTTGACGTCACTTTGGCCAATACTGGCCGTTCCTTTATAATCCGATACTGACCAATAATCCGAGCCGCTTAATGACGTCACATTACTAACAACCCAGATAGATACTAACACAAGAATCAGACACGGGACAAATCACTTCACGTCTTTGTTGATAGGATAAAAAGACACTTACACATCCTCCCTGTCTGGGAGTTTGTTTGTTCTAAAGTGAGGAAGGTCAAATATCACCGACACATTTAAAATGAACCACGCTTAACGCCTCGGACTTGACTTGTCCAAAATGCTTCGCCGCCATTTATGTCAGTCCTACTTTAATATTCAATATTAAGCTCCAACAATTGACCAGTACCTTCCAGAGATAACAAACAGGTAAGTTTATTACCTGTAAAATGTTTGAACACAAATGTCTAATAACTTATGTCAATCAGGTAAACGTTTAAAGGTTGTGTTCATCTTTTAAACACGAGCGCGTTCTACCCGAACAAACTCTATATATACAGGTAAATCTTCAAGCTCAACGGATGTAAATAGCAAGGTTATGTACATACCTCATGCACATGGCAAAGACTGAGGTTTAACGAATTAGAAACGTTCACTTTTTTATCAACACTTACTTAACGGCTTTGGCGAGCTGGTTAGCTTTACGATGGACGTAGAATCCTTGCCAACGTGTATATGAGTGGGGGTGTACGTTATATATGTCAAAAAGTGGAGTCCCCACAGCGTTAATACAGAAGGACAAACTATATAACGGGGCGTCACAGCGTCAAAACATAAGTTTATTATGTACGGGGGCGTCAAAACATGTCATTCACAATTATGACATGGCGTCGAAGCGTTAAAACACAAATTCATTTTT